TGTGTCTTATTTGTGATTGTGTCTTATTTGTGATTGTGTCTTATTTGTGATTGTGTCTTATTTGCGTTGTGTGTCTTATTTGTGATTGTGTCTTATTTGTGATTGTGTCTTATTTGTGATTGTGTCTTATTTGCGTTGTGTGTCTTATTTGTGATTGTGTCTTATTTGTGATTGTGTCTTATTTGTGATTGTGTCTTATTTGCGTTGTGTCTTATTTGTGATTGTGTATTATTTGTGATTGTGTCTTATTTGTGATTGTGTATTATTTGTGATTGTGTCTTGTTTGTGATTGTGTCTTATTTGCGTTGTCTTATTTGTGATTGTGTCTTATTTGCGTTGTGTCTTATTTTTTATTGTGTCTTATTTGCGTTGTGTGTTATTTGTGATTGTCTTATTTGCGTTGTGTCTTATTTGCGTTGTGTGTGTTATTTGTGATTGTGTCTTATTTGTGTTGTGTGTCGTGTTAGTGGTGAGTCAGCCGTGTTGAGTTTCGTTAGCTGGCTGACACTGAGCGCGCCCGAACAGTCCGGACTCAGGGGGCCGTCCACCGAAAACCAGGAAGCAAAGCAGGCCGCCATCCTCTGCATCAAGGTACATCAATCAATCAATCAATCAATCAATCAATCAATCAATCACTTTATTTTGGTAAATTGTCCACATTAAACACAAGAAACAACAAAAGAAAAAAAGAAAAAAACATTAGACAAACCCACAGTTTACCAAAAAAGGAATAGGCCGAAGCAAAGCTTATTCTTGCCTACCCTATTTTTTTACCTTACAACCTACCAGGATTTCTTCAAATTCAGATTCAAGTACATAGTACATATATAGATCTACATAACAGCGTAAGATTTTATAATTTTACATTTTAAAGCTCTTTTAAAGTTCACCAAGAAAGGACATAACTTAAATTCATCATTCAATTCATTCCACAGTTTCACACCAATAACTGAAACACATCTAGACTTTATCTGACTTTTCTCTTTTGCACATTCAAATATAAACAAACCTCGCAAATTATATTTATTTTCTCTTAACTTAAATAATTTCTGAATACCAGAAGGTATTCAGAAAACATCTAGGGATGGGGATGGTTAATATCTATTGATATTGATACTCCTTATCGATCCGAGTCTTTATCGATACCACTATCCATACTTTTCTGTTATTTGGTGGAAAGACGACGCGACAATATTTAGCAAATAAATAATTGTATTTTAAATTAAATGTAATTTTTAATAAATGTTGGCATCAGTAGTTTAATTATATATTAATTATAAATATATTATATTAATTATATATTCTAAAATAATTAGAGCAATATACAACTGTATTCCTCATGTTTCTCGCCAAAAACTCAATTTCCCTTTTCTTTACGTTACACTTGAACGCATCACGATAGCTTAATTGTCGTTTTACTGACTCAATCTGAACACATCATCACTCAGCACGTCTGAAACTTTATTTACTTTTCAAGCTAACTAGCTTGTATGCTGCCGATTACAACACGGATTTCACAATTACTATTGTAATAATAAAAAAAAACGACCAGACTCCATAGTGGTATCGATAAGCCCAAACGGTGTTGATTTTCGGGTTTTGAAAAAAGTGGAACCGGGTCCTTGATAGAACCGAATAGGTTTAACTGGCCCTAACTAATGTTAAAGTAGCCTGATTTGATGGTCCCAACCATCACATATTAGTATTGTTAGCATTGATGTGAATGGAAATGTTATATCTCCACTTCTCTTGCAATGAAAACTAAAGATAAACAAGTGAAATCTGGAGCGACTTTGCTCGCCTACTTTAATTTCTCCTGGCTTTTGAATCGTCGGGCACCTTGTCAAATGTCTTTCACTCCTCTGTTTCTCTCATTTCAGCAATGTGACCCAGAGAAGCTGATCACGGAGAGCAAATTCCTTCAGCTTGAGTCTCTGCAAGAGCTGATGAAGGTTATTATTCCCTTACCAACAGCATCCATTAGCATCCCGTGTATGCTTCTCCATAGAAATCAGATTTCTGACTGATTCTCTGGTCTTCAGGCTTTGATATCCGTCACCCCTGATGAGGAGACCTATGATGAAGAAGATGCTGCCTTCTGTTTGGAGATGCTGCTCCGCATCGTGCTGGAGAACAGGTGCGAGCTCGACCACGCCCCTTTTTTTACAAATGGCGTCATTTTTACGTCAAATGTTCACACGCGCAAAATTAACCTTCCCGCGCGCAAATACAGTATTTTTAACGATAAAAAAAAAAATTCGATACTAAATTGACAACACACCACCGCAACCAATGTATAAATATATATTTTTTTAACGATAAAAAAACATTTTTTATATTTTTTTAACGATAAAAAAACATTTTTTATAATTTTTTAACGATAAAAAAACATTTTTTTCGATGTTAAATTGTACATCCGCCTCATGACCGGAACTCTTTCACAGTTACGGTTGAACCTATATATTTTTTAACGATTAAAAAAAAAAATTCGATACTAAATTGACAACACACCACCGCAACCAATGTATGAATATATATTTTTTTAACGATAAAAAAACATTTTTTATATTTTTTTAACGATAAAAAAACATTTTTTTCGATGCTAAATTGTACCTCCGCCTCATGACCGGAACTATTTCACAGTTACGGTTGAACCTATATATTTTTTAACGATAAAAAAAACTTTTTTTTCTATACTAAATTGACATCACACCACCGCAACCAATGTATAAATATATATATTTTTAACGATAAATTTTTTTTTAAAATATTTTTTTTAACGATAAAAATAAATAAATTTCGATGCTAAATTGTACCTCCGCCTCATGACCGGAACTGTTTCACAGTTACGGTTGAACCTATATATTTTTTAACGATAAAAAAAACTTTTTTTTCGATACTAAATTGACAACACACCACCGCATTAACGTAACGTATTTTTACGATGTAAGGAGAAAGAATTCAGTCGGAGGTAGTCTTGACGTATTTTTACGGGTAAAGAGTAGGAATTCAGGCGCGAATTCCCCCCCTGTTACGTCAGCATTTCCAATATGTCTGACCCTGACGTGGGCGGGGCTTGACGTCAATTTTTGACGTAAAAATGACGCCATTTTTGACGCGCTCGGTGCTTTGTTCTCAGGGACCGCGTGGCCTTCGTCTGGCAGACGGTGAGGGAACATCTCTGCCATCTCTGCGTCCACGCCTCAGAGAGCTGCTTCCTGGTGGAGAGAGCCGTGGTAGGACTGCTGCGATTGGCCATCCGCCTGCTGCGGAGGGAAGACATCAGCTCCCAGGTACTTGTAAGAGCCAGTTAATGGGGAGTTCATATCCTCCTGAGACCCGGCCCAATAATTTATGTCCATTATAGTGGACATTTTGTCCACCTGTACCCCCCCTAAGTATCTGGAGTTACCCTATCAGCCCTATAGTGTTCTGTAGAGCACATCCTGGGCTTTCCAGTGATGTGCCATGTGATAGCTTTGCATGCTGGGAACTTTACTTTTTTCCAAAGAGTTCCTAGGTTAATATCCCTTTCAAGAAATCTTCTTTTTTATTATTTAATTATCTAAAGCCTGTTCTATTTTCCCATGCAAATCGTCCTGTTGTCCTCCACAGTGGACATGCTATGAAATTAAAATAAAAAATATTTTTAAAAAAATTGAAATTGTAATGTTCTTTTTTAGGTCCAAATACATGGAAAATCACAACAAAAAAGAAATTTGAAGACACTTTTTTTCTTTGGGTTTCAGGAGGATATAGAATAATAATTTTGATTAAAAATGTATAAATAAGCTTAATTTACTTTTTAGGAAATTCATGATGAGTACATTTTCTAGAATGTATAACTTAGTTCATGTAAAAGGATGCTTTTATTGTGAAAAGTAATTTTGGCTTCCACTACGTAATGCGTAACATTAATATCGCCCGTATGCACGTTTAAGTTTAGATTGCAGTTGGATACGGGGGAAGCAGCACAATTTTTTCACCGATCTGTACCGAGCCTTTCATTTTTTCTGCAAGTGTACTTTTTTGAGTTCTTTAAGTAAACATCATAAAAGAAGACTTGGTTTCAGTCGAGTGATTCAAATATTGGTTGTTAGACAAACTGCAAAGGTGGTACAACCAACTTTTGGGACGCAGAGTGCCACTACAGTACTGTTTATGTTTATGTTTGTGCATTTGTCAGACGCTTTTATCCAAAGCGACTTACAGAGTAGACCCAATATTCCATTTCTCATCACTATGACAATAAGCTAAACCCTGATCAGACCCTGACCCAGATCCTGCAGCACAGGCCCAGTTCACCAGGAACAACCCATCCATCCGTTTTCTACCTCTACTTTATCTTGTTTATGGCCAATAAATGCTAACTGCTATGGCCAATTCAGACCAGTTAACCTGACAGGCTTGTTTTTGACTCGGCTAAAAGACATCAGTGGCAGCCAAATAATGTCAATCAGCAGGCCAGAGTAACCTGATGTCTATCAAACAAACATATCCACATAGAGAAAATCCTTTGAAATCAAAAATATTCAGATTTAGCCAAACTGAGCAGAAGTAGCCTGCCGACAAAGGTCCAGCCCACCGATTGTGTCAAATATGTATTTTAGGTCATTCTCTAAATCCGTGTATCTCTGGAAGAAAAACAGTGGGGATAGTAGTCTTCATTTTTTTCATTTGTTTTGGTTTTAAAGGGGATACTGTGTCTGTGAGTTCTCCGTTATACCATGTAAAACACCAATAAATGGCCATAAATGGGTAATAAAGGTTGGGTTTTTAGCTTTGCTGCGTTTTGCCTTACAAATAGGGTTGTCAAAAGTATCGATACCCCCCCCTTCTCTCTGATTTATTTATGTATTTATTTACGTTGTTTATGATCATTAACAAGACGTTAGCCTTGCTAGCTGCGGCTAATGGCTAATAGTAACATGCTACCATTAATCAAGTACATTTCCAACTCCGCCCACATCCAAGTCGGCCATTTTGATTAGGTCACCAATAGGAAGATCCCAGGCAAGAAAATCCTAATTGCTTCATGGCAATATAGACATTGATTTAAAAATAGCTAAATTAATCTTTCAAACACTTAATTAAACTCTATACATATTATGTTAAAATAGTGTATGTTAAATAGGTTTGTACAATAAGTCCAAACAAGTTTAACCAAAAAATATTTATTTCTCACAATTATGAAGGGTGGAGGGTTAGGGTTAGGGTTAGGGTTAGGATTAGGGTCATTAATGTGGGCCACCATAACATCAGTAACAGGTCAGTTTGAAATGAAAGACACCATTCAGTTAAATTTTGGGGTCTTTGTTTTTATACTTGTGGTATCGAAAATGGTATCGAGTATCGAGTATTTTCCTGAGTATCGGTATCCAGTTGAACATTTTAGTATCACGACAACCCTACTTACAAACAGGAAGGAAGCAGCCATCTTGTACTCTCTAACTGATCAAACCCCGTCCTTTTTCCCCAGGTGCTGCTCTCCCTGCGCCTCCTGCTGATGATGAAACCTCAGGTCCTGTCCCGGGTCAGTAGGGAGGTGGCCTACGGCCTCCACGAGCTCCTGAAGACCAACGCGGCCAACATCCACTGCACAGAGCACTGGTACACGCTCTTCTCCCTGCTGGAGTGCATCGGGGCCGGGGTCAAGCCTCCCGCTTCTTTTCAACTGTCCTCCACCACTTCTGACACCGCCACGGGTCCCGATCCTTTCCTTTTCTTTTTTTTTTTTTTTACAAAATTTTTATTATTTTTTCAGCACGGCACAGTGGTGTGGTGGTTAGCACTGTCGCCTCCCAGCAAGAGGGTTCTGGGTTGGAGTCCCGGGGGAACCAGGACCAGAGGGTTCTGGGTTGAAGTCCCGGGGGAACCAGGACCTTTCTGGGTGGAGTCTGCATGTTCTCCTGTGTCTGTGGGTTCTCTCCGGGTTCTCCGGCTTCCTCCCAC